TAGTAGTAGTTACGTTACGTTACGTACGTACGTAAGTAAGTAAGTAGTTAGTCTAGTTAGTAGTAGTATACGTATCAGTCTTAGTTAGTTAGTAGTAGTAGTAGTAGTAGTAGAGAGAGAGAGAGAGAGAGAGAGAGAGGTTTAAGAAGTTTGATTTCTTTAATATTTGGATAATAAGCAGTTTGATAGCTAGAGGTGGGGGGGGGAGAGATATGGAGGTTTCATTTTGATAGTAATTTAATTTCTCTTTTATTTGGGATAATAAGTGGTCAGACATTCTTTTTGCCTGTTGTGTTTGTCTGTGAGAAAGGGGAACTTAATTTTGAAAGTGGAAAAGTTAAAAAGGAAAAAGTTCATTTACGGTTGTACCTTTATACTGCACCTCAAAAATTATGTAGAAAAGAGTGATTTGAAGTTGAAAAACTTTCTAATTAATCATCTCAACCTCCATATGAATGAATATAAAGAAAATAAAATTTTTAAGTTTTAAAAATAGTGCTTTTTGTAACAAGTTATTTAGACCATCTATTGTTAAGATTTTTAAATGTTTATAAACCTCATCGATCTGTACCGTTTTTTAAATTTTAAATTTCATGATTAGGGTTGAACATAAATTTTCAAGCCATAGCAAGTTTTTGACACCAGTACTACATATTTCGACAAAATTTAAAAGTGGGTCTTACTTGTAAAATATAAGGTAAAGTAGGGAGAAGAAATTAGAGCGTGAGAATTGCATTATGGAATTTGGCTCTGAAATTTAAGAATAAATTTTGAAAACAAAATTGTATAGGAAATAATCACAGTGCAGGAAATCTAAATAATAAAAATTAATAGAATAGTTAATGGGTGTGGTTTCCATAAGGTTGCAATCTTAAACAATCCATTTAAGGTGCATCTTCAAAATTTATCACGATATATAATTTTGATGTAAAATATTCTTAAGATTATCTGAAAATCTATTTTCATATTAATTATAAAAATTTAAACTCCAAAAATGATTAAAATCAGGTGGATCTATAAATTTATGAAAATCTTGAAAATGGATAGTCTAGATAATGTGTTGTAAGCACCAGTTTTAAGATTCAAAATCCTTTTTTTTTTCATAATCATTCATCTTGATGTCGAGATGATTAATTAGAGAGTTTTTTAATATTAAAACAACTTTTTCCAATGGATTTTTGAGGTGCATCTGCTGTTCTACATTTTAAGGGTGCAACCTTATATAAACTTTTCCTATAGTTAATTGTTATATATGTATTATATAATTGCCATAAAATTATTATTACTAAAAAAAAGGGTACGGTGCCTTGATTTTCAGGAACAATCTACATCATTCATTGTAAATGGATGGTATATACGCTAAGGACAATTTTTTTTTTTTAGCTAATTAAATGGAGAAGATATATACCCCTACCCGATTTTTTAAATAGTTTAGGAGTTAGTTTTTTTAAAGTGTTGGTGGGGTGATGTCAATGAGAATAGAAACCACAATATGGTAATTAAATTGACAAGGTGCTACTACCACAACCCCACCCTTTTTCCCAAGTGCACACAGTCCAACAACTAAATCCTTGAAGCACCAAAACGAGAACCAACTATTACTGAAGTAGCACACTATTATCTATTGGAAAATTGTCTCATGGGGGCTAGACTGCATAACTACATATGTGGTCCAAAAAGTGTAAAGTATTCATCTTAAAGATGGATGCAAAAAGGTATTCCACCTAAAAACAATAGACACTAACGATCCAAATATTTTCTTATTAGAAATATTATTTCTAGTTTTTTAAATTTATTTATTTTTTCATATTCATGATCTCCATGTTATATATTATTTGTCTTTTAAAATTAAGTGCAAAAATCCATTTCAAAAATAGATTTATTAATAAGCCCATGTTTCTACATATGCGGGCTTAACCGCATAAAAACCGGGTCCTTATTTACTTATTTAAACATTAAAAATAATTTTCTATCAATTTTTTCATTGGAGCATGCAACATGCCACTAGCTAATAATTAATTACCTAAAATTGAATAAGATATCATAACATTTTCTAGGAAAAATATGAAAATTGATAGCAAATTAATTAGCAATTTCCACAACCAATTCCACATAGTCATTAACTTATGTTCTAGTCAACAAACCGCATACGGCCTTGTCAAAACATGAGATACACACATAACATTGGCTATGGGAAAAAGTTTATACAAGGATAGAACCTTATAACGTAGAACTGAGGATGCACCTCAAAAATCTATTGGAAAAGGTAGTTTTAATGTTGAAAAACTTCTCTACATCGAGATGTATGACCATAAAAAATAAAAAGACTTTAAGTCTTAGAAATAGTACATTTTACAACATATTATCTACACTATCCATTTTCAAGATTTTTATTTGATTATAGATCTATTTGATTTTAACCATTTTTTAAATTAGAATTTTTATAATTAGATATAAAAATAGATTTTGAGATAATCTTAAAAATATTTTACATCAAAATTATATACCATGTTAAAATTTGAAGGTACACCTTACCTCTACCGCTATGCCGACTGCTCACACTTAAATATGGGAAACATCCTACCCCTAAGTGTTCTAGGTTATAACAACCCTATTTTACTTTTTCACCATTTTATTCTTTCTTTTGCCTTTTAATTAAAGTTTTTTTTTTTAAGTTATCTTCTCTTTTGCCATTTTATTTTATTTTTTCCATTTTTAAGTTGTCTTATGCCTTAAGTTCCCACCGACTTTTCCTCTTTATAGTTTCTAGTCTTTTCTCTTTCCATTTCTGGCTCTACTGAAAGGGAAGAGCTCTTTTTTTATTAATAGATAAGGGCAGGGTTTTATAAAACTCCGATCTATATATGTTTCGGATCGAGAATTATTGGGACCACTCTAGTTCCTACCATGTATCGGAAACCAACTAATTTTCACTAAAAACCAGCGGGTTTCGTAACAGCTGTTTATGTCAGGGAGAGCTGATCAGGCCCCATTTTTTTATTATTATTATTATTATTTTTAAAATTTTTATTTTTTTTAAATTTTTTATTGGCTAATACGTTTGGCCGAATTGATCCGCGAATCCAAACCGGTTTTCAAGGCAGTCGATCCGTCCAACCTATCTGTTTTTTCAAACAGTAGGTAAAGGAAAATGGTGGGTTTCGTATACACCAATGGAAAAATTAGGGCTGTATACAATGAAATTGTTGTGCACAAAGGTCACAAAGACATCAAGCTGTATAGATGGCTGCGGTGTATTATTCCCATGCATATTGCACAATGTAACACCTTGAGCTGTCAAATATAAAAGGAAAAAAAGTTAAGTGTGAGGTTCCGTTTTGATGCCAATTTTTTTTTAAATTGATCATCTCGATCTCAAGATGCATAGACATGAGAAAAAAATGGTTTTCAAGTTTTAAAAATAGTATATCTTGTAATGCATTTTTGGACCGCCAATTTTCAAAGTTTTCAAGTTTTCATAGATATGCTCGATCTACAGTAGTTTTGAAGCTTTAAATTTTATAATTAAAGATGAAAATATATTTTAAAGCTATCACAAAAATTTCCAGTATTGAAACCACATTTCTCAACACTATTTAAAGGTGCGTTTTACTTTGATTGTTTAGAGCTCCAGTTTTATACAAACCGCGATGTACCATTTCTCTATATATTCTCAAAAAAATCTTTCTTGTCTTACACCCATACTATCATATTTCACACTCTACGACCAAAGATGATTCTAACCTTTGGTACCAAACGAAATGGTATATGTGTACAGGTGCAAGTGGGTCAGCTTGACCCCCCAACAGGTTCCAGACCATAGCAAAACCAGGACCCGACCCCGCCCATGTCTATCATACTTGAATCCCGCCAGCTCAAGTCAGGTCCAGGTCCGATACCCACCAAACATGGCTTGTATATTTGACCCAAACATACTTGGGTCTAGGTGTGTACGACCCCAACCCCACCCACCGGATCCATTTCCCAAGTAGACCTAAAACCCAAGTCGAGTTGCCCTAATCATGATAAGCTCTTTTTTGTTGAAGTGTAACCATGACAAGCTTCCAAACCTTAAAAGCATCCCACTAATGTCTCTAAAACACTTTCAATCAGTCGTGCAAAAAAGGCCAAGTGTGTGTTTCACGTTCACCTGTACATCACTTTTAAAAGGTTATTACAACATACCAAACCAGAAATCCATATCGTCAATGAACCAGAATTAATCATATTTACCAATAAAGAAAAGAATCAACCCCAGCCCACTCTCTCAATCTCAAATTGGAGAGCCCTTTTAATCTCTCTACGTGAGTTTTTGGAGCACTTTCTGCTGGAACTATTTTTCAATGTATTGTATTACCCAATTATAGGGTATTTGTAAAAAGTACATGAAGTTGTAATCCCTTGTAACGACCTATCTAACAAAAATAGAAATAGAAAATGTAAAATGCTTATCAACTAGATTAAAATGTGTATAGCAATACATAATTTGAAATTCAAGATTTGAATTTCAATTAAAACATTTTAGTAACTCCTAACCCCATCATTAGACTAAATATATCAAAGAATTCTTTTAAACCATCTCTCTGATGAGTCTCTTCAACTCTCATCTCACTCCAATAACACTACAACCAGGCACCTTCGTCAAATCCCTATCCACCATCATCCTCCTCACTCTCTCAACATCACTCCACCTTCCCACCTCAGCATACATATTTGCCAACAACACATAATTCCCACTGTTCCTAGGCTCCATTTCAAACAACTTTTGCGCCACGACTTCACCGATCTCTAACTCCCCATAAACCCTACAAGCCCCCAAAACAGCACCCCAAGCCTCAACCCCATGACTTTCAGCTTCCTCTAAGGCCTCCCTTATTTTTCCATTTCTTCCTAACATATCAACAACACAACCATAATGCTCAACTTTAGGCCTCACCCCACTTTCTCTCTCTACACTTTCAAGCACCCGAAGCCCTTCTCTCACTAAACCTGACCTACTGCAAGCACAAAGCACATTGGTTAGTGTCACCCCATCAATTTTCACTTTCTCTCTCTTCATTCTCTCAAACAAGTCCAATGCCAAATGCCCTTGCCCATGCATGGCATAGGCACCAAGCATTGAGTTCCACAAGGCTAAGTCCTTGTGTTTAGCCATGCAAAAGACTAAGAGAGAGAAATTCCAGCACCCACATTGAGCATACATGTGAACCAAGGCGCATACGACGTGCGAATCTAGCTCGAACCCGTGTCTCAGTGTGTGGGCATGTAGCTCTTTTCCTCTAACTAAAACCCCTAATCTTCCACACACAGGTAGAACACTTGCTATAGTGAAGTGATTAACTCTAATATCAGTGGCTTTCATCTTATAAAGCACGGTTAGAGCCTGGAGTGGATCATTTGAGAAGCTCGAAATCATAGTGTTATATAGTCTAATGTCTGGTTCTATACCTTGTTTAATCATGGCATTAAAGGCATCCCATGCTTTCTCTCTTTTCCCATCCTTTGCAAATTGTGATATTATTATAGTCCATGTGTTCACATTGGGCTCTAGAGACTGCACTTTCATTTCTCTAAAGAGCTTGAGAGCTTCGTCGCCATGGCCACTTTGTGAATAGCAACTTATGATCGAATTCCATGAAGAAATATCTTTCTCTCTCAACATGGTATCAAACACCATTTGTGCTTTTTCTCTTCTCTCACATTTTGCATAAATGTCTATAAGACAGTTCCTAATACGTGTATTAGACCAGAACGCAGATCGCAAGACACAGCCATGGATCTCCCTCCCCTGATTTAACAGTCGGAGCTCTGTGCAAATCGGGAAAATAGAGGTGAAAGTCATCGGATTGGGTCCCATCTCTCTAAAATTCATCTCTCTAAAGATTTCCATGGCTTCGAAGGGAAACCCATTATGGGAAAAACCAGAGATCATCAGATTCCAGGAAACAGTGTTTTTTACAAGCATTTCATCGAACACTTGAGCACCTTGATCGATGGCACAGCAACTCATATACATTTCTATTAGAGAATTGAACACATAGATATCAGGGTCTACGCATGCTTTAAGAACATGGCCATGAACTTGCTTACCATTTCTCAGAGAAGCCGTGACTGTGCAGGCTTTCAAGACCCCTGTGATTATATGGTTATCTGGGTAAACCCCATTTTTGAGAAGCTCAGAGAAGAGAGAGAAAGCTCTAATGGGTCTCCCATGTTTTGTGTGGCCACTGATCATAGAAGACCAGGCCGATAAATCTCTTTGATCCATTTCTTCGAATAATTTGCAGGCTTTGTGTAAAGAGCCCTCCCTGATATGTGAAATTAGGGTTTTGCTCTTCGATTGATGGGACTGAGGCTCTGAAAATCGCCAATGATGGTGGGATTTGGAGCTTGAATAACGAAGAAAGCCTGATCTCATTCCAAGCTTGCTCTCTTTGATCCATTGAATTTAGAGAGCTACCATCCTTTTGAGAATCCGAAACTTTCACGACCGTCTTTCGAATTTCGGTCGGTTTCTGCGACACTTTGTCTAAAAAGTTGATCAAAACTATAACCTTCAGTAACGGTGCCAAAATACAATTGAGAAATATCAATAAAATGTCAAAAAGGTCAATGAATTTACAAATAAATTGATTACTTGACACACTATTTCACTTGCATACATCCTCAGTAACTTGGTACAAAATGCTTCAACGCCTATTTTGGACTTAGAAACCAAAGAGAGTAGAGACAATTTTAATATGGGATTGTCCTCGTAGATACTAATTTTTTTTTTACTCAGAGGTCACAATTATTTTTAAAGAATATTACAAACAACACTCTAAAATGGACTATCTAGGCAATTTACCGCACCCAAATTTTTTCTCTCACTTTTTTTCATAAACAACCTTTCCTCGCAAATAACCCCCAACCTAAAAGTAGCATGAAATAAGACTAAACTACCTTTGTTTATTTTCACAGCCTTCTCTCCTGTTTTCACACGTGCTCCGGCAGTACAAACAAACTCCGACATTCTGAATGTGCGCTCCGGCAATGCACGTCTGAGCCGCAACGCTCCAACATTATGAGAACTCGCTCCGGTAGTGCAAAGACGCGCTCCGACATTTTGCTCCGACAATAAAGTCTTTGGAGCCACAGCGCTCCGGTAATGGAGGAACACGTAATGGCCGTATCAACAAGCGCTCCAACATTCTGAATGTGCGGTCTAAGCCACAACGCTCCAGCATTATGAGAACGCGCTCTGACAGTGCAAAGACGCGCTCCGGCAGTACGCTACTTGGGACCCGCGAATTGATTTGGTTTTTACGGGAAGGGCATTTATGTCTAAAAAATAACAACTTTTTTCCTTGAGGGTTTTTGCGAGGAAAAGTTGTTTTTGGGAGAAAAAGTGAGAGAAAAGATTGGAGTGGGTAAGTTGTATAGATAGTCCATTTTAGAGTGTTTTTTATAATTTTCTCTTATTTTTATCCTTTAAATTTCAAAATGGATGGTTGTAAGAGTGTTATTGAAATTATTAAAAATAATTTCCCCCAATAACACAAGTCAAATGACCAAGATATTTTTGTTTCTTTAGGGTTTCAACTATTTTATCATGTGTTTGGAACACATAATACATAAGAGTATTTTAATCATTCGACTCAAGTTGAGCTAAACAAGGAATCATCTCTATTTATTTGGGTTTCAAACCCAAACATGTGTTTTTCCAAATGGCATGTAAATAAGTGGTCCATTTTAAAAACTAACTGTCCAAATGTTTTTTTGAAAGAATTATTACTTTTAATTTTTAAAATTTATTTATTTATTCATATTCATGATCTCCATGTTAGAGATTATATGTTCTTGAAAATTAAGTCAAAAAATCCATCTCAAAAATAGATTTTTAAGAGGAAACTCATTTCTACATAGACTCATCGAAACCGTATCTTTTTAATAATAGGACAATTATACAAAGAGACTATTTACTTTTGGTTTAAGAAGGTCATAGTCACTCTTGTCCGTTAGATACTTTCTCTCTCTAAAATTTAATATAATTTCTTTCTAAAATTTTAAAATACTTTCTCTCTCTAAAATTAGAATTTGAGATAGTCTCCCTCTATTAAAATTTTGAAATAGTTTTTCTCTCTAAATAATTTCAGATAGTTTCGCTCTAAAATATGATATAGTTTATCTTTCTAATTAATTTCAGGTAGTTTCTCTCTCTAAAATATGTATAGTTTCTCTCTCTAAAATTTTAAGGTACTTTGTCCACCTAAAACATAGAAATTGAGATAGTTTATTTCTAAAAATTTTGAGATAGTTTCTCTCTCTAAGAAATTTTAGGTACTCTCTTACTCTAAAATTTGATATAGGTACTCTCTCTAAAATTTTAATATGCTCTCTGTCTAAAACTTTAATTTTGAGTTAGTTTCTCTCTTTAAAATTTTCAGGTAGTTTATTTATCCAAAATTTTAATTTACTCTCTTTTTCTAAAACCTAAAATTTGAGATAGTTTCACTATCTAAAAATTTTGAAATAGTTTCTCTGTCTAAAATTTTTGAGATAGTTTCTCTCTTAAAGTTTTAGATACTTTCTCTCTAAAATTTGATGTAGTTTCTCTCTCTAAGAAATTAAGATAGTTTCTCTCTCAAAAATTTAATATTTGAGATAGTTTCTCTTTATAAAATTTTTTAGATAGTTTCTCTCTCTAAAATATGATATAATTTCTCTCTAAAAAATCAAGGTGTTTTTTTGCTGAAGTGCATTCATTGGTTTACTATTTTACACGTAGTTTTCTTCGCAGCTACCACTCTGCCCTGTAGTTTTCTTCTTTTCAACCTAGGGGTAGACCTGAGAGGAAAAATAGTATAACTGGGGAACACTTGGAACCCGTAAAGCAGTCTGTTAAAAGAACTCTTCTTGTCTTGAGGAGCCTTCGTCAAAGCATTATTTGTTGACGGTTTTGACGTTGCTAGGGAGAGGTTGGAAGAGGCGAGCGTTCTATTAGGAAACTCTTTTCAACGGAAAAGACCGGAGCCAATGGCTAAAGGGTGATATTAGAGTGATGGAACTTCATCTTCGAGCGGTTGTTCCGACTTCGCCGCCAGGATGCCAAAGATGCTACTTTCTCTATCTAAAACTTAAAATTTGTTTTTTTAAAAAATTTGATATAGTTTCTCTCTCTAAGAAATTTCAGGTACTTTTTCACTCTAAAAGTTGACATAGTTACTCTTTCAAAAAATTTAAGATGTTTTCTCCCTTTGAAACTTTAATTTTGAGTTAGTTTCTCTCTCTTAAACTTTAGTCTTGAGCTAGTTTCTTGTTTTAAAACTTTCAGGTAGTTTATTTCGCTAAAATTTTAAGATACTTTCTCTCTCTAAACCTTAAAATTTGAGATAGTTATGCTATCTAAAAAATTTGAAATAATTTTTCTCTCTAAAAATTTCAGATACTGTTTATACTCGAAATTACGAGTAGGGGACTACATCAAGCCTTGATTTCAGATGCAAACAAATCGATAAGTTGGTAGAATATGAGTCTCATCAAATTATGTTCCAAGGGAGAATCGGGTTTTAAGACCTTATCCATATCAGATCGCCGACAAAGCCAATTTCCCAACTATCTTAATCTTGGAACTTAACCAAGAAGGTTTCGAAAGGGGCTCGTAGGTAAAAAAGAAATTTTTAGGAAAATAGATATAAAGAAAGAATAAAAGAAAAAAACCACAGATAAGTAGCAAAACTAAAAGGATGCAATTAAACATGAGTAATGAATCTAACTATTAGATGCAAGAAAAACAATAAATTAAACAACATGAAGGTAAAGAAATATGACTAATCTAAACATGCATAACATAAAATGAAAGAAAGTGATATTACTATGGAGATGCAGGCTTGGTTGCGAAAAAAGGTGAGGATAAGACCCCCATTGATGAGACAGAGAGATATAAGTGTAAAATGCGAGTACAGATAAAAATACCACATGAGGAACAATAAAATAGAAGAAAGGAAAATGAAAGATGACCTAATACTAATACATGTGCATCAAGAATAATAAGAATAAGTAAAAGAAAGAAATAAAAGGAAAGAGCATGAAGGAGAGGGTTAAGATGAAAGAGATAGAGAGAAATAAGAAATAGTTCATAAATGGGAAAGAGAATAATAGATAGATACAAATCCCTAATAGAAAATAAAGAGGATAAAGAACGGTAAATAATCAATAAGAGGAAGAGAGAGATTAAGCTATTGAATACAACCTAAAGGAAAAAAGAAAATAAACATAAGGGAGGGTAAGGGATGAGAGATATGGATAAATCCAAACTATCAACAAAAGATGGATAAAAGACAAAAAAGATAGATGTAACTATAAGAGAATGAAAAAGACTAATCTATTAAACAAAATATAAGGGAAAATGTAGAATAAATGGAAAAGAGAATGGATGGTGAGAATGACGAAGAAGACAGGATTCAAACCATAAGGTACAATGAAAGAGAATAGATTAAAATGAAAAGCCCCTAACTAAGAAAGAATATCATAACCAATACGCCTCAAGTTAGAACATATGAGAGATGAGAGAGATCTACATTTACATGAATGAGAGGGTGGAAAAAGAGTAATCACAAAACATCAAAGAAATGGGTGAAACAAGGCATGAAAATACTATTAACAAATAAAAAAAAAATTAAGAATCCAAGCGAAGATAGAGAATCTATACTAGTAAGAGGGAGAGAACAAGGAGAAACATCAATATGACAAACCAAGAAGAATACCTACTATAAAAGGAAAAAAGATCCTTATTTAATGAATAAGAGGATGGAGAGAGGGATCAACCCCATCACTACTAATAATAAAGAGAGGAAGAGGAATAGACACAAAGATACTTAGAAATAAATACTTCTCAAGAAAGGAATGAAAACTACTTAGTGGAGAATGACAAATAAAAAAATTTGTTGAAAAGAGGAGTCTTATACCATTAATCAAAGAGATAAAGAAAGATAATGAATATAACAACAAAAGGAATAAATATAAACTAACAAAGGGCGTTGGGTTTCGTGATAGCTAAATTATTAAATCCATATTTTCAAAGTTATTATGGTAAAAAGAAAAAAAACTTTCTTGGGAAGGAAGAAAGTGAAATCTATATAACGAAATCAAAGAGGACATAATACCCATCCTTTTAGAGTCATCCCTTTGTGGGTTATAAGAATGGATTTCCAATATAGATATGGGTTTCCAAGAGAGAGAAACATAGCTTTCGAGAGAGAAACGTATTCTCATGAGTTTTGAACTAGTTAACTTTCACTTCTAGAGAGATAAAGTCTATCGGTTGCTCTTGATATTATATTTTCGGTAGCGGTATTACGGTAGGAAATAAGATATTAATAGACGATGTTGCTCGGTTGAAAGAACGAGTTTAGAAAGAAAGATCGATGGTGGTCTTTTACCAATGTTTACAGATAAGTATTATCTCTTGTAACCCAAAACTATAATTTTTATTGTGGTCGTAGATTTCTACTTGTTGAGGTTGTGAATGTAGCCCTATGGGGTGAACCATATAAATCTTGTGTCGTTGTCGCGTATTTTTTGTGTTTATTTTATTTCTCACACTCGATCTATAGTTGTATTCTTCTACTTCGCATTTAGTCAATCATGTACACGATCTTGGGTGGAATCCCAATCTTTGGGATTCCTGGCACCGCAAGCTAGGGGTTTCGGAGAATCATACAATAATCACTTTCTTGCTTCCCAAGAAAGTCTATTTTCATTTTACCCTTAAATCGATTGGTGAAAAATCAGTAATGGTTTATAACATTTACAGCTATTGTGCATTTATATCAATATAAACAAGCAATGAAAACTACACAATATCAAATCAAGAACATAAAATAAAAAATTCAACAACATGAAATAAAAAATTTCGCAACATTCAATCCACAAAGCACAAAGATTTAACATGGTTTGATCACAAATCGTGACCTATCTGCGGGAGAATGACGCGAGACTTTACTTACTGATTTAGGAAGATTACAAGGGCTCAAACTATAAATTTTCAGTTGTTATTTCTCATTTTAAACAGAGCCCAAAAACAATGCACTAAGAACACCCAAAAATGGGTTCTCTTTAACATTTTTTTTACTAAAACCTGGCACATAGTAAACCCACAATGGAGTTCAAGCCTTTTGCTCACTTTCTATATCTAGACAAAGTATAATAAGCCCTCAAGAGAAAACCAATTGCAGCCCAATCTCCCTATCTTTTTCTCACATTTTCTCTCTCTAAACAAAATGGTTTTAATCCCTTTAAAAGAGTAAAGTTTCTACAACACTACAACCATTGGATTAGATGCAATCTAATGGCCCAAAATAAAAGAGAAAAAAGTCAAATAAAACTCCCACATGTGTGATTTGTTTTCACACATGTAACAAAATGAAGAATGAGAATAAATATAACTAATCTAGCATAATAAATACTACCTTAAATGAGAGTGAGTGAGAGGGAGCATTAAAGGAGGTAAAAATAAGAGAGAATGAAGAAAATATGCAAATCTAGTTAAAAGAAGATAAATGCAAAGCTTATAAAAGGAAAAGATAACATTATTCAAGAATGAAGAAGAGAGCAAGATCCATACTATTAAGTTGAGAAACGAAGAAAATAAATAAATGCCTAATCAAGGGAAATGAGAACACATCATCTTGATATGGAAGAGATCCTAGGAATAAAGAGCTAAAAAGGAGAAAAGAGAGTGAATATAACTAACCTAATACCATAAATACTACATTAAATAAGAGAATCATAAAAAGGGGGGAAAATGAGAGAACAAAGGGAAAACAAGCAAATACAATTAAAAGAAGTACATACAAAGTACATGAGGAGTTAAAGGGAAAATACATCAAGAAGGAAATCATAAATATAAACCATGCATGAAATGGAATATTAAGAAAAATACATGTAAAGGAGAAAGGAGGGTAAAACGACATATGAGTCGGGCCCCCAGGCCCGACGCCCAGCATTGGCGCCGATTCAGATAGTAAATTTACACAATCAACCCGAACTTTCTCGATTCTTAACAAGGTAAGTAGAAATAGGAAAAGGGGGCCCGGAAGGTCTGATTATCGAGACCGCCTTTGGTTTGAAGTGTGGTTTAAAGGAGTTGTGTTTGTAGCTTTGGATTAAAGGGGTTTGGTAGGATGGGGATTGTTCAAAGGAGATATTCTCTCAAGCTCAAGCTTGAGTTTTAGATCAAGAAATTTTTTTGGGCATAGTCTATGCACAAAATTACTAAAATCTTGGACCTCTTCTTGAGGCAAAGGGGGCTTTTTATAAGCAAAAGGAGCCCATGATAACCTGTATCCAGTTTTGTGCGGAATTTGGGGTCATCAAAACTTTGACGCCATTTGGAATGGCACTAGCACTAGTTGAAATGACGTTATGTAATTAATGTTGTATTAATGAATGTCAATAGAAATTAAATGATTAAATGCTCATTAATGCGGGCCCTGTAAGACCTGTCAGGTTCTCGCGCTATTGGCAATGGCACTTAGCACTGTTCAAGACACTTGGCATGTCCTGATTGCCCTGATTTTGTCATCCGTAGTTCGAAGCTATTCTAACTAGCGCCAGCAACTTTCAGAATGTCGCCAGATACCAGTTGTCTAGACGCCTTGGTTATACTTGCTTCTGACCATCATCCAATAGAAAATCGACAACCTCACGCCGTACTGACAGCTGACATGTCAGTATGGGTCTGTCAAGGCGATGGGTACAGACTGACATGTCAGCCCGTCACATTAGTCACTTCCGCGGCATTGTGTCTAGGCTGTTGAAGGGCTCGGGACCTGGGGCTATTTGAAATGGCGCTAGGCTAGGTCTCTTTGATCCTATTCTGGTCTTTAAAGTGGATTTGTTTGGGCTTGCAGATGGGAGCTTGGGACTTGGCGCCAATGGGAATGGCGTCAGACCTTGGGTGCCTCGGGTCGCCTATATTGTGGCATTGGTACATCTGGTACCTTGCTGTCAGAGTTTGGGTAAGACTTTGCTGCCCATTGCGGTAACATCAGAGTCTTTCCTCTTGAATGTTTCATAATCAGGTCACTCTAGGTTTGCCTCGCCTTGTTCATTCTCTTGTAGCCCTTGGTCCAATTTGAGCAATAGGTTTGGTGGAGGCTAGGTTTATGGAGAATAGGTACTATTGGGGTGAAAGGTTCAAAATACCCGAGTAGTATACCTGAGACATTTCAATCTATCAATAACATTTCTAGTCGATATCAGGGTGTCTACAGGTACATATTATATTTAAAATTCGATATAGTTTTTATTTAAAGTTTTAATATATTTTCTTTCTCTAAAACTTAAAATTTGAGATAGTTTCTCGCTTTAAAAATATTCAAATAGTTTATCTTTCTAAAGTTTGATATAGTTTCTAATATTTAAAATTTTAATGTACTCTCTCTATAAAACTTAAAATTTGAGATAGTTAAAAGTTTTGAGATATTTCTTTCTAAAAATTTTCAAGCATAAAATTTGATGAAGTTTTTCTCTCTAAAATTTTAAGATACTTTATTTCTCTATATTTAAGATTTGAGATAGTTTCTCTCTCTAAAATCTTAAGATGTTCTCTATAACTTTAAATTTGAGATAATTTTTCTATTTAAAATTTTGAGATAGTTTATCTCTCTCAAAAAATTCATGTATTTTCTCTCTCTAAAAATTTTTATATGCTTTCTCTCTCTAAAATTTTAATATGTTTTTTTCTCTCTCTAAAATTTTAATATGTTTTTTTCTCTCTCTAAAATTTGATATAGTTTCCCTCTCTAAAATTTTAATATGATTTTGTTCTACAATACATTGGGTTGTTTCCATGAAATGTCAATTCCATCTATTTTGGTGGAATTGAGATTTCCAAAATTTAGGTCGAAAATAAATATTTAGGAATTCCAAAGAAATCTCAATTCTAATGGAAATGTTAATTCTAAGTGAACCAAATATGATTGACTGGCCTTTTCCAGAAAAAGTAACTTCTAAAAATATGAATCCAAAGAACCAAACGGGCCCTAATATTATCCCTTCCTTTGGTCACATTTGCTCCCCGTTAATAATCCATCTATTTCATTAATTCAACCTCACCCCAAAAGCTTTTAGAGATTTGTACCTGTTTTATTTATTATTATTTTGGAATTGCTATGATCTAAAATTTTTTCTATGAAAAGTTTTCTCAGAATTTTCGGGCTAGACCACCTGTTTATATAGTCATTTTAGATCAATGGTTCAAAAATAATTGATTTGGCTCGAAACTGCCTAAGTCAAATTGGAACCAGTAGGCACCCAGTCTAGTCCAAGCCCCTCCTGAACCAGGAATTGGATTTCAGTATTTATAAATCATATTAAAAAAAGTTTCATTATATTGAAGCTTAGGATTTGAATTTTCTAAACTTTTCTTGACAATTTTAAAGTTTTAAAATTACTTATATTTTTTATTTTAAATTAGGTTGAAATATCATTATTATCATTATAGTTTTTTTCCAACTATTTTGGGGTCTGCTGCACGAATATTAATATATCATTCAGTTCTATCAAGGGCAATACCTTAAGTGAGGTCATAAGTCCTCATATTTTTTCTTGTTACTTTCAACCATGTCTTGTCGAGCTAACTTTCCTAAATGTCTTAATTCAACTCATACCCATTTGACCTACCGATCTGATATTTAAAGTAGTGCACCTGACCATATAATCTTTTTGGAAAAACATATAATTAGATTATTTACTTTTAGTATAAAGAGGTCACAACTTTTTTTTTTCTCCATCAAATTTCAAATCAAACAATTGTAAGTGTACTTGTGACTAAACTCAAAGCCCAACGATAAATTGTTTAAACGTTGTGAGACACCCCAAACCATCCAATTGAACATCTAATAATTAGAATCATTTGTGACCTCGTACCAAAGTTAGATGGTCTCTTAGGATACAATCCCTAATCTTTTTGCAATTATAAACCAAATGGAGGTGAGGTCAGCTCCATGTAAAAAAAAAATGATTCGAGACTTCGCCTTCAATAGAAACGTTCAGAATCTCAAACTCTCATAGTATATAAAATGCCTAATCCTTTTTTGGCAATCCCTAGTCTTTTTGCAGACAAAATAGCACATTTTAACCGTCCGATTTTTCATCGGACTGCTCAAAGCCTTTACAGTTATTATGTAGGAAAATCATTGTGTACAGCAATTTTTTAAAGTCAATTACTCCCATATTTTCCATGAAGACCTTCATTCATGTCCTCTCCTTGTCGCTCTGAAAGCAAAGGAAGAGTTCGCATTTTTTGGATCAACCCCTAGAAGAATGGAGTTTCTCTTTCCCTTTGATCAAAATCCTAAACCTTTTTCTCTCCGCTAAGGAAAAAAAACCATCTCTGAAACCCTAATATCTCATTCCCAATCCCCACAAAGACCTAGTTTTCAATGGCCAGAATGCGCAGACAGCTCCTCAAAGAGCTCTTTCAGAAAGGCCTTTCATCTCAGAATTCGCCATTTCTAGGGTTTCGAAGGCCTGTAACCTATATGCCCCGACCTGGCGATGGAGCTCCTCGACCTGTAACCCTGATCCCAGGTGATGGCATAGGGCCCATGGTTACTGGTGCGGTGAAGCAAGTGATGGAGGCCATGCACGCCCCTGTGTATTTTGAGACATATGAGGTCCACGGAGACATGACAATGGTTCCTCCAGAGGTGATCGATTCGATAAAGAAGAACAAGGTTTGCTTGAAAGGGGGTTTGGCCACGCCAGTCGGAGGAGGAGTTAGTTCTCTGAATGTTCAGCTTCGAAAGGAGCTGGATCTCTATGCTTCTTTGGTTAATTGCTTCAACTTACCCGGGCTTCCCACCAGGCATGAGAATGTTGATATTGTGGTGATCAGGGAGAACACAGAGGGCGAGTATGCGGGGCTCGAGCATGAGGTGGTTCCAGGTGTTGTCGAGAGTCTCAAGGTATGCATAATTCTCATTCCTCTCTCTTTCTCTCTCTTAAGAAAAATGGTTTTTGCTGTGGTGGCCATGTATTTGTACTCTGGTGGTGAGATTGATGTCTCTCTCTTTTTCTTTTTTTTTTCTTGTTGGTTATATTGTTCATGTGAGTTATATGGATGCATTACTTTGCTTCGCATTTCTCCAAGAAACTAAATTGGTTCCTGAAAAAGGGCAGAACCATATTGTAGATTTTCTATCATCTTTATAGCCTGCCCATTCTTCATTTGAGAAAACAAAATTAAGTAACTTGACTTGTATTGTGATTACTATGCAGCAGCAATTGGTTCATTATTCCTTTGAACATGGTGCAGGATTATTTTAAATGGGTCTTCAGGGCATCATATGAATTGTTAGGCCACACTCAGAAACGTATGTGGGGTGGAGGATCTCATGAGGTTTTGGTGGTTTTAGATATGAAAAACTTTGTATTCATTTCCATTTTTCTTTCATGAAATCCTACTACTTTGCAATTGTTGTAGGGGATCTCTATGAATCTCATCACCATTCACCTTTAGCTTGTTTTTCAGTCAAAGGCCTTTAACTAGAGTTTGGACAAGTGGACCAATCCATGGAAAAAGTGAATTTGTGCCTATTTTCATTAAGAGTAGTGTCCTTACTATAGTTAGTTATACGTATGCCAAGATTTAGATCAGGTACATAAAGTTTTTGGGTAGGGTGTTGGTGCATCCTAGGACACACCTATTCTACTGCGATCGCCTTCCAGATTCCATTTTGAAAATGGATTTTGGATCCAAAACTTCACAGCTCTATCATCTCCACTGCCAAGGCCATGAACATGAAGAAAAGAAATCAGCCTTAAGAAATAGTTCATGTTGTACTATATTTTTGGGATCACCCATTTCAATTCTGTAAAGATTATCATATCTTTACTATTTTTGGTGCTCCAAATTCATCAATCTAAGGTAGAAATGGATTTTGCAGTGATTTAGGATGTGTTTTGGGTCCCAAAATCCTTGAAAAGCAGGGTGGACGCATGAGTAGCTAACTCACCAAACTTTTTAATATTTCATCATTAAATTGATTGAGAAGTTTGGGGGGAAGGGAAAAGACCTCCACATAGTCTTTATCGATCTAGAAGAAGCTTATGATAGAGTCCCTCGAGATTTGATTTGGTGGGTGTTGGAAAAGAAAGGAGTGTTCAGACACTACATCGATTTGGTGAGAGATATGTATGATGGAGTGCTAACTAGTGTACGAACAACTATTGGAGAGCCGAGTGAGTTTTCGGGGACAATAGGTCTACGTCAGGGGTCAGCATTGAGCCTATACCTCTCTATCGTAGTTTTGGATGACGTAACTTGGCACCTACAAGATGAGGTACTGTGAAACATGTTGTTTATGACATAGTTTTGATTGATGAGACCTGAAACAATGTCAATACAGAGTTAGAACTTTGGAGGGATGCTCTAGAATCTAAATATGCTAAAATTAGCCGGACTAAGACAAAGTATATGAAATGCAAGTTTAGTAATAATAGAGTAAAGACGAGAAAGTAGTTAAGATTGACGACCAGGAAATACTAAAAAGAGCGGACTGTGGATATCTTGAGTCAATAATCCAAGAAAATGGAGAGATTGGGGAAGATGTCACACATAGTTGGAGCTGGGTGGGCAAAGTGGAGATGTGGAACCAGAATTTTATGTGATCACCGCATACCAATGAAGTTGAAAGGCAAGTTTTATAGGATAATTGTGAGACCAGCTTTGCTCTATGGGACAGAATGTTGGGCGGTCTAAAAACAATATATCCATAGAATGAGTGTAGCGGAGATGAGGATGTTGAGATGGATGAATGGCAAGACAAGAAGGGATAGAATTTGAAATGAATACATTCGGTAAAATCTAGGTGTTGCACCAATAGACGATAAGATGACAAATAGTAGACTTAGGTGGGCTGGCCATATGTAGTGCAGATCCAGTACAACACCTGTTAGGAGGTACAAGTTAGTTCAAGTGGAAGGCTCAATAAGGGCAAGGAGTAGACTTAAAAGGACATGGTTGGAAGTAGTGAGAAAAGATGTGGGGATTTATGGCCTCACTGAGGGTATGACCCTTAATAGAGCAGAATGGAGGACTAGAATTCATGTAGCAGACCCCAATTAGTTGGGAAAAGGTTTTGACGATGATGATGATCATCATCAATATGGGATACCATGATGCTCTTTATGTTGTCTATCCTTGCTTTGGCATTTCGTGTCATACAATAGGAACTACAATTCACACGCACGCCAATGTTAACAGGGTTTAAAAAAAAAAAATTTCACACACATGCGCTCGTGCTCACACACTTGCACACACTTACACTTTGTAAGCTAGGGGTAATCAGCCACGCTTTTTCCAAAATATGGCCTTAAATGGAACTATAATAAAGTTATTTATTCATACTTTTTCAGGGCTATGATCCTTATAGTGCCATCCTCGGCTACTTTCTTGACTAGAATGAAATGGTGTAAAGATGCTCATTGCAAGAGACATCGTAGCTCTTTGGATAGCCATGTTAGGACATATTTTTCACAAATCACAACTAGTTGAAATGAAGCCCCCTTTTTTCATGGTGGCCAAGGACAATGTGTTATTTGGTGAATGTCTCATTGTCTCCTGGTCTTGAGCAGGTGCTAGTCTTTGCTTAATGTTGATGCTTTCCAAATTTCAATCTCTAAATTCTTTCCCATTTCAAGCCTTAAGATTCCCTTTGTAAAGCTTCTTTAGGAATTTGAACCAACTCTTTAGGGATTCACGTGATCCTTGACAACTCAGATGATCTGAAAGTATTTCCTGGCTTTCAACTCGACACTATTTTCACCAATCCTGAACCACGCCAATTATGTTAGCTTGATATGATGTTGCGACTCCCTACTTCTTGTGCGTGTCAGTGGGTAAAAAAAGTGGTTGGTGGTGAAGCAATGGTTTAGGAAGAGATCCTTCGAATATCTTCAAGTCCATTCAAGGGAGATACATATGTCTGTCATTACTAGTCATGCTGGAGTTCTCTTGGTTATTTATCCATGTGGGTCCTGCTTCTTCCAATAGAAAGTAAATGATATTATTGATCTGTCTCTCTCGCTCTCGCTCTCTCTCTCTC